ATTTGGTTGAAGATGAGGAGTCACTCAGTTTTGTTCCGTAGCTGAGATCACGACATCGTCCCTTTTGTGATTGATTAGTGTAATGTTTATGTGTGTTTGTTCACATGATCTTGTTGGATTCCTAGCTTGATTTAACTTCTGATTAAGCTCGAGGTATGAGAGATATTAGGTTTACAATCTTTCATATGACAACATTAAGAGTTGGCTCCTCTAATTATTTTCCTTCGAGTATTTTCTTCCAATCTAATCAATATACTTAACCAAACTTAAACACAATTTCAATAAAAGATAAAAAGGGAGTTGGAATGGAGCATTTGATTCATCTCCTCAATTGTTTGGGCCCGAGGAGCCTTTCTTACGTTCGAACAATTGTCTTCTCTAAAGATTTATAATCCGATAAACGAAACCAAATCTATTTTCTTCAACACTTAGATAAAAACGAGGGAGAGTCAAGTCTTTGACTCACTTTCCCGATTACTTGGGTCCGATGAGCCTTTCTTAAGTTTCGAGTAATCATCATCCGATTTAAAACACTCTAACTATATCAAAACTCTTTCATAATATAAGATGAAAAAGAGAGAGAGTCAAGTCTTTGACTCATTCTCCTGATTACTTGGACCCGAGGAGCCTTTCTTAAGCTTTAAGTAATCTCCATCCATTTAAAATACTTTAGTTACCGTTCAAAATGCTTTCTAAACACAACCTCTTTTCAAGATGGAAAAGAGAGAGAGTTATGTCTTTGACTCACTCTCCTGATTACTTGGGCCCGAGAAGCCTTTCTTAAGCTTCGAGTAATCGTCATCCGATTAACTTACTCGAACCATATCAAAATTATTTCGCCATTAAGGTTGAGAAAGAGAGAGAGAGAGAGAGAAAGAAAGAAAGAGTCAAGCCTTTTGACTCATTTTCCCGATTACTTGGGCCCGAGGAGTCTTTCTTAAGCTTCAGGTAATTGTCACGTCTAGCAAAACATCCAACACGACAAACTCTCTTTTCTCGCCCCCGTGCGATTGAAACTTCTCATGACACTAATTTCTCGCCCGCATACGATCCATGTAACACCCCATTCTAACCTTAGCGGATAAATAAGAAAATAAACAGAAAACAATCAGAGTGCAGCAAAAAGAAAGGCTACATGACGATCATAATGGATGTCACGACCGTGGTGGTCATGACGAGCGTCATGGAGTTGTGACGGTTGTCACACTCCCAAATTCTGGGACGCATCAGAGGTGTCACAGTTTCAACTTAACCAACAACATACGCCTGCAACAGATCATTTAATAACATACATAGCACAGCTTCGGATGAACAGACAACGATAACTTGTTTACTATCTTAATTACAAGACAACTTGTTATTTTGCAGCAGAATTTAATACACTTCCAACATTTATAATAACCAGAGCAAGACCAGAAAATTCCACAACTAAATTCCATTAAAATTCAGCAAGTAATTATCTTGCATCAATTCACAAAACAACTAGTTTCAACCATAACAATCAGCATTACCGCTTCGTCGGTCTAGTGCGTACAACCAACATTTGGCAATATCATAAGCAACCAATTTATTAAAGAAAAGTACTTAATAAAATTCAGTAACACGTAAATCAATTAACACAATACAATTAATCGTTCGTCCCCCCAAGAATGCTACGTATTAGAGCGACCAACGACACCTTAAACGGAAAGCTACACTCTATTCCGAGTTACCTGCAAATTACCATCAACGGAGGTAACATACAACGTAAAGGGTGAGATATCAAAATTATAACATAAGGCATGATAAAATTCATGTCAGGATCATATCACAACATTAAAATTCTCGCAGTTCTCCAAATATTATCACAATGAACTACCAGGAAATTCATCATTCATATATGCAACAATTAGCAGGAAAATTCAGCAACTCATCATTACTTGCAAACACGTAATGACGCGACTCAACTATGCGACTCAATTATGCATATGCATGTGGTACCTGTTCGGAGCAGCACTCCACAACCAATTTATTTGCCATTAAAGGCCGCCAATACAGGCACAACCAACGCCAATACAGGCCAACCAGGATGATATGCTATGAGATGCATCTATTATGGACTACAACACAACCACAACAACTACGCAACAAGGCATTAAGCCTACAACCAAATTGTCCATAACTGAAACATCGCAATTTCATACTCATCAGATAACCACAATTTTCAATATAATATAATCAAATAAGAACACCATAACAACCCTCTCAACAAATGAGAAATTAGCGCGTGTCGGCGCCGTTTCCCAATATTATTACACATAACTAATGACATAAGACACTAATTCAGGCACAGACAAACATTACCCTTAATATTTCTCAACCTACGGAAACATTAACCCTTAATATTTCTCAACCTACGAGAACATTAACCCTTAATATTTCTCAACCTACGGGAACATTAACCCTATGACTCAATTCCCTTCATGAAATTGATCATACTCACAGTTATAGAATTGAACCCCACCCTTACCTTTGCCTTGAGGACAACTCTAAACTCCCGGTTCCGATTTGCTCTCCGGTGGCTCTTCTGCAAATACCTTGAATTCTCTCCGGCGGTTAATTCCTCTGTTCTTCCTTTCTCCACAGCCACGTCCTTTTTCCTCTTCTCCTCAACCTTTCCTTCTAAATTTTGTTTCTGAGCAGTCTATCGTGTTTTCCTCTTTCCCCCACAACTTCTCTAATAACTCCCTATTTCACTTATTCCATCCACTAATAATAATAATAATAATAACAATAATAATATTACTACTAATTATTAAATTATCATCATTATTAATTATATTATGTTATTATTAAACTCTATATTTTATTAAATGATTTCCTATACTTTAAGGACACCCACCAACACTTTCAGACATACTCACACATAAAGGCACACCAACAATTCATAAATAATACTATAAAAAAATGAACGGGCGTTACAATCCACAACTCAAGCACTTTTTCACAAAGAACCTTGTTTAGTCCCTTCTTTCGCGCATATGAACTAGTGTTTCAGCCTCCCCTAGCTAGCAGACAAACCAACGTTTAGCAGTTACAACGCGACATAAACACTCGTTCGTTTAAGACACAAACCAACCAACCGTAGTCTTCCAAACTACGGAAGCTCTGATTTCTCATTTATCAATGAGAATACGTAGGCATAGGATTGCGAGATCCTAACGAGCTACTTTCTACCTTTTCTTTTTTCTACCTTCCCTCCATCTTCCGTTTTCCTCAAACCTTTTTCCGTAGTCCACGAACTACGATGCTCTGACTTTCCCATTACACGAGGGAGTACGTAGGCACAAGGGCCCTAATCCTTGGCGAGCACCCTATCTTAAAACCACTCATTTTCTCCTTAGTAAGCAATTCTTTAGAAGATAAACAAACGTAACTAACTTTCTCTCACGAATCGAATCAACAGGTTCCCATTGAGTACAACGAACGTAGAGGGTGCTAATACCTTTCCTTTGCGTAATTGACTCCCGAACCTAGAATTTGGTTGCGATGACCATGTTCTTATCTCTTTAAAGATTTTATCAATATTTTTCTATTCCTCTCTTGGAATGAATAAAGTTTAGTTGCGACTCTGTTCGAACGTTGTTTTTTTTTCGTGTCCATCGCGAGGATTGTATTTTTTGAGGTACGACAGTTAGTCTGGTTGATTGCCGCGAACATGGCCACCATGGTAGGGTCGGCGCCTGCTGGCACCGAGATGGGTTGGTAGACAGCAGGGTTGTCGAAGCGCTGGACGGCGTTGAAAGCCACGTCTTTCGAGGAGGGAGAGGCGGTGTGCCCGTCCCTGTAGTCGCCTTCTTCATTGCGGGCGGCCGCGTTGGGGTCGTGGTCGTCTCCGTTGTTGAAGGGGATGAAGGCGGTTTTGGGAGCATTGTCGTCGCGTGGGATGGTCATGATTAGAATGGAAGTTGAAGGTTGCTTTGGTTCTTGAACTTCTATGCTTGGACAGGAGAAAGAACGAGAAAACAGAGGATTCCCACAGACGGCGCCACTGATCTTACCTGATCAGAAAGGAATCAATGGCCTGCCACGCGTCGTGAGTTGCTGCCTTCACCGGTATTGTGGAGGAGAAAAAATGGGGTGTACCTGCAAGATGCTCCAATGCTTAAGTGAGTAGCAAAACTAGAGAGAGAGCAAGTACAGAGAAAAAGTGTAGTAAATGGAATACCTGACCCTATAGTGAAATAGGATATTTATAATGTGCCCCCAACGCAGGGCCAACGATTACATTGCATTGGGCCGGATTGCCAAGCCCAACACAAGTAACTGTTGGGGCTTACGTGACGTAGTGAAGACCAGCATGTGGTCTTCGCTCTAGGTCAACTATTCAGTAATCTTTGAAAGGTAGGTAGTTGTCTGATGACGTGTCCCCGCGTAGGGGACACGTGGAGAACGTGGGAGAAGCGTGTGAGCTCCCCATCAATAGTGTCTTCTGGCCGACTAGCATGCCTTGGTGAGGCTTGTGCTCGACAGAGGAAATTAGACCTTGTTGAACCTCATCAGCATAGCATTGAATTGAGACTTTTCGGCTGAAGGACAAGTTCCTGCCCAGTCCAAAACAATAACATTACCTTAATACTTAATAATCAAAGTTATCAAATATAGGGTGTGGAATGCTTTAATTTCAAACCGAGTTTCTAACTGGGTGGAAAAGAGTTGGGATTTTTTATCCAACAGTATCCTTCGAATGATGGTTTAGGGCCTGAAACCGCTCTACATCACTGTCCACCCTTAGTTAGAGTTTAACATTTATTAAAATCAATTAAAAAAACTTACCAAACTATAAAAAAAAATGAAAATTTATTCTTAAACTTCCATTCTATATTGCTTGCTATATAGACAAATTCTATAGAAATGACTATTAATAAATACATTAATAATCTCATACAACTTCCTAATAGAAAATCATATTGTACACAATCTGAATACAGTCCAAGTTCAATCTGAATACAGTCCAAGTTTCACCAATCTGTTCCTAAGTTTCTGGAAACAAAGAGTTTATCAATGTATTTGATTATAGCTTCGGATGCTGATGCATAAATTTGCATTTGGACTTTCGCAGATGCGTCTGAAACAAAAGGATAAGAATGCATAATTTACCATACAAGCTTTGAACAGAACATAGTAGCAAGCATAGTTAATTATAGACTTACCGTCCTCGTTGAGTTTCTTCAAAAGCTGTTCCCTAGTAGGAAGAACATACATCCCAGCAGAAACAGCCTTCCTGATAGCCCAACCATGATAAGGCGCAAGCGCTTGTTCGTAAGCCTTTGAAGCCGGATCCTTAAGGGAATTTCCCCTGAAAGAAGATATACAAGAACTCAACTCATTTACTGCATTCATTATGCTATTACACCATAAGCTTAATATGAAAAATATAAGAAACAACTCTGTTAATCCAAGCCGTTTAAACAGCTTGGACAGCCAGCACCGTACAAGCCGGTTTGTGTAAAGCTTAAACAGCTTGGACAGCGCTCATCATACAAGCCAGTTTTTCAAGGTTGAGTTTGTCCCAACCTAAATTCTAAGATTATTGGAAGTAAAAATTCACACTTTCTTAAAGAATAGTACTAGTAGTTATGTAACAAAAAAAAAGTACATTTATCAAAACAAAGGGAAATGTAAGTTGTCCTTTCGTTGACCAAGATAGAACGACCATTAAGAAACGGTATATAGGTCGTAAATTAACGAGTATCATGTGTTGTACTGAAATCACAGATTTTTAGAGACACTGCCACAAGTGCAAGTTATTCAAAAGCATAAAATACAAGGCAATGGACGTTGTCATTTGATGTATTCAATTTGTTTACCACGTTTGCAGACAGAATCTTCAAACAAGTTTCATTTTCAAGCTGATATCAAACGGCACAGCAGGAAGTAGGAACAACTAAAAGCAATAAAAAAATTATGAACTTTGAACTGGTAACAAAGAAAACAAGGCCAAAACCTAATCATGATGCAGAACTTGAAATTTTGAAACATAAACCTTCATTATAGTATAGTATGCATGCAAAATCTTACATGGCCAGAAACTATTGTTCAATAAAAATAGAAAGAAAAACAATATCAGACAACAATAACGAAAGCGCAATGTTTTGGCAAAAATCAAATCCATCTTGACATTTTCTTTGAAAAAATAACTTTTTTCAAAAACCAGTAATCTTAGTACCACAACATTATAATCATTTTAAGCCACGAGCAAATGGGGAAGAAGCAAATTCTCAGCCTCCTCTTTCCACCTTGACTACCCAGCATTCATGGATGAAAAGTGGAAGCTACCAAGCATAGCATACACATAGCAATTTAAAGATAGAAGAAACCAGCAAGAAACAAATTACAAAGCAGTAACCGATGTACATACTCAGTAACTATCATTTGCTGAAAAAGTACTCTGACCATGTCAAGCCCGCGTTTTACTCTCAATAGATTTCTAGTACAGCTGCCTGCATTCTTGACAGATTTGGCTTGTATATCCCGATCAATCAATGAATTTAACGTCTGAATGGACTTTGATGCCTCGGCTAGATCATTAACCTAATACACCATTAAACAAACAATCAATCAATATCCACAAAACCTTGACTTAACACTAAGTACCAAGGAGAAAGCATTCAAAGCACACATATACATACATAAATACTTGATTTCTTGAGATCATAAACTACACTACTACAAAAAAAACCAAGCACTTGGGCTCAAACGAGCTACTGCTAAGGAAGTGGAACAAAGAAATAAATTACTAAACTCCGCAGCTAATAGATAGCAATGGAATGAAAGGAACAAAGAAATAAATAAAAATCACAACTTTACCATAGCCTTTAAAGAATTACAACAAACCCAATTGAAAAGTTAAACAATAGAAGAAACCCATGAAGAGGAATCTCGATTAGATTAAAAAAAACAAACCTTGGCAACGTAATCCTTTTCAGCGAACTTGAAGGCGATGCCTAAGGAACCAAAGAGAGGAGAGATAAGAGAGCAGGCACGAGAGAAGGATGCAACTTCAACATCTGAGGTTTCCGAATCGGAGACAGTGTTAGCGAGAGTTTTGAATGCGTCTGCAATTTGATGGAGTGCTTTATCGCCGATGATTGGTTCTGCCATTGGAATCAACGGACGGAATCTCGCGCAGTTGTGTGCTGTGAAATCGTTGTGTTTGAGATGATGAGGAAGATTGAGTTTTGGGCCGGCAAGAACTCAATGCATGATTCGATGCCACGTTACTTGTAAAAGTATAGTTTAAAATAATAAAATATTGTAAATTTGTGTTATTGATACATAATGAAATAATGAAAGTATGAGTGTTTGTGTCTTATCTTAATACATCTCAACGAATAATATTGTAAATTATTTAAGTTAATTTTTTTTATAAAATATCTATGAAAGTTGATTATTGACATATTATTATTAACATGAAAATTTTCATAAAAAAACTTGTTGAAATAAAATACTTATTAACTATAAATATGTATAGATGTAACTTAATTTATTAACAAATTTAATATAATTTTAAATAAAATATAATAATATGTTGAAGCAGTACATAACAATCATGATTCATAATGTAATAACATTGTAAAATAAACAAAAATAATAATAATAATAATAAAATATTTAATTAGAATATTTTAAAATAAGTACTATAAAAACACTAAATTTTCATCTCACCAATAATGCATGTGCTAATTTGAATACATTTTTGACAATATCCAGCACATATATTGCTTGTTTGATTAATTATAATTTAATTAATTAATTTTATCAAAGTTAATATTTCATAATTTAAAAAGTAGTGGCAATTAGAGCCTTATCAATTACAAACCTCACACACACACAATTTATGTATTAATAGTTTAGAAACTAAATTTAAAGAGATCATTTTTGCGAGAACAGTTAATCGAAACAATATTGACTTTAGTATACAAGTGATTATAGAAAAAGTAGTTTTTCATTTTAAAATACATTTAGATCAGTCTCCTTTCTTTTACTGCGTTAATTCCGAAGGACTTGAATCCTCAACAGTGGAAAGAGTATCGTCTTATTACTTTCGTGGGTTACGTCTATAAGATTATTTCGAAGATGATGGCGTCTAGGCTAAGCAAGGTTATGGACAAATTGATCTCTGTTTTTCAATATGCTTTTATACCTGATAGACAACTATTAGATGAAGTCTTGGTGGTGAATGAATTGATTGATCATGTTAAGAGGAAGAAGAAAAGCTACATCTTGTTTAAGGTAGATTTTGCGCAAGCATACGACTATGTTGAGTGGGGCTTTCTGGACGATGTTTTGAAGGCTATGAATTTTGGAACTAAATGGCGTAACTGGATTAGAGGAGGAGTCTACAATAACTCCGTATTGGTAAATGGCAGCACTACGGAGGATTTCAAATGCTTTAAGGGACTCCGACAAGGGGATCCTTTATCGCCCTTTTTGTTTGTTCTGGTGGCGAAAGCTCTTGCGTTATTGGTGAGAAGGGCGACATCAAACAATACGCTCAATGGTTTTCAGTTGAACAAAGGAAATTCTATAAGTTTAATTCAATACACAAACGAAACCATTTTAGTATGTGATGCTGAGTGGAAGAACATGTGGGAGATTAAAGCCATCCTTAGGGGATTCAAATTGATTTCGGGTTTGAGAATAATTTTTTTCAAGAGTTGTATCTACGACATTGGGGTGAACGACGCGTACATAGTTGCAGCAGCTTAATTCCTCGCCTTCAAAATAGGGAAAACCCCTTTCAAGTTCCTAGGTTTAATGGTCGGTTGTAACCATATGAGGATCAATTTTGGGCGTCCGGTAATCGACTGTTTTAGGAATAAACTTTCAACTTGGAGAGGCAAACAATTATCTATAGGCGGCATAGTTGCTTTAATAAATTTGGTACTCACGAATCTTCCGATTCACCACCTTTCATTTTTCAAAGTTCCTTCAAAGGTAGTTGTCGCTACTGCGAAAAAAGGTGCCGGCAAAGACAGAAGAGTCGCCACCTATCGTTATTTATCATAAAGGAGGGAAAGGAAACCATCAGGAAAAACCTAGCGAAAAGGGATAAGATCGGTCATCACAACCAAATCTCGGGTTCGGGAGTCGGTTACGCAAAGGGAAGGTATTAGCACCTCCCTTGTCTGTTGTACTCAACGGGATCCAAGCTTGTTTGTTTATCTAAAAGGGTTGTTTATCTATCTAGCTAATGGTCTGGGTTGAAAGAAAATAAAAAGGAAAAGGACTCGACAGAGCATCGCAGCTCTGGGCCTACGTATTCCCTCGTGCAATGGAAAAGTCAGAGTCAACGTAGTTCGGCTAACTACGGGTGAAGGGGAAAGGTTGCTCGCCAAGACATCGCGTATCGTGCCTACGTACTCTCAACAGGTATGAGAGGTCAGAGCGAATGCAGTTTGGGATAAAACGGAACATGGGTTTGTTCGAATGTTTTTATCCGAGTAAGGTTAAACTACAATTCCAGCAGTTAGGGACAACGCCTGTTTGCGGTAGAACCGAAGCTTAACAACACTCTTTTCATCTGAAAAGGTTTTCCTGGATTAAAGGAGCCCCAAAGGGCAAAAGAAGTTTGATGTTTGTTTTTATGTCTTTTATCGGAGAAGTGTTTTTTATGAATGTTTGTAATTCATATTGCACTAGAGACTATGACTTAGGAGCGAATGGGTCGCATATCGCCCAAAGGACGTACGCTAAACACTCTAGATGATTGAGAGGAGACCGCTCAATTATCATTTCCCAAGTAGCTTAAGGCTCGTAGCGTACAATACAAATTAGCCTTTATTAGGTGTTTTACTGTTGTTTTGAGATGAGAAGAGAAAAGGACTCTACAGGGGAAAACTGAATTAAAACCTACTGTTGTCATGCAAGATGGTCCTAATGTTCAGTTTGAAAGGGAATTTATCCTATATGTTATCATGCCAAGGATAATTCAACCTAAAGTCTATCATCACTGTCCTTAAACAAGGAAGTGAGAGTCTTAAGGGAACATGCCAAGGGAAGCAAAACAAAACTATCAAGCTGATGGAATATAAAATAACTGGATGCAGATGCAATGCAACAGTACAAGCAAGGGAGACAAGCTCAACCTTTAATGCAAACAGAGATGCACAGAGAAAGCACACAAGCAAAGGGAGGCAAGCTCAACCTTTAAATGCAAACCTAGAAGGTATGAAAGGCAGATAAACATCCAAGCAAAGGGAGACAAACTCAACCTTTAATGCAATCATGCACCTAAACAAGAGTATCTACTCATGCAATTCTATCCTAATGCATCACAACAAGCAGGCGATGAAATCAATCCATCAAAAGAGAGATAAACAATATGATCAACAAGGAAATCATCCCAAGGCTACATCAAGTTTAGATGTGTATCAACACAAGAGTCCATCAGAGGCTCAAACTTCTCATGGAATGCATAAAATTCAACCAAAGGAAGAATTAGGCTCTCACAAGAGGGATCCTAAGAATAGGACAGAGGATGGGAGGGGCTAGATCCTAGTAAATATCTAAGGTACTAGGTTAATGTGTATCAACACAAGGATGTCCATCAAAGGCTCAAACTTCTCATGGAATGCACAAAATTCGACCAAACGAAGAATTAGCCTCTCACAAGAAGGATCCTAATCATGTAGGACAAATAGGAAATGTGCAACACACTTGAGTCCTCAAAGGCTCAACCTCTTACGAAATGCACAGAATTCAATCAAAGGAATAACTAGGCTCTCACAAGAGGGATCCTAAGAATAGGACTTGGAGAATGAAGGAAGATAGTGTAAACCAAAGGAATCCATTATGCCATTGAATGTCCATCCAAGGCTCAACCTCTTATGGAATGCACAGAATTCAACCAAAGGAAGAATTAGGCTCTCACAAGAGGGATCCTAATAATAGGACCAGGGAATGAAGAGATGGAAGGAACAAGGCAAAACCAAGCAAAGGAACCACATAAGGAGGAGAAACCATTCACAAAAAGCTTCTAAGGAACCCTAAAAGCAAAGCTCTAAAGGACATCTATCCTAATTAAGCTATGGACATGCTAATGACTTGAAAATTAACCTACAAAGCTCTCAACCTATGTACTATGGGATCATGCAATGATTGGGTGCCTAAGGATTGCACATAGATCACTTATAAGGCAAAACTAGGTGAAGGTTCAATGGGGAATGCCCTAACATCAGTCAGAATGTAAAATCTATGAAAAATAGGAAAACAATCCTAAAAATTCTAATAAATATCCTAAGGTATCCTCAAGAGGTTAGGAATCTATGGTTAAAATTGTGGAGCAAAACTTTAAGCCTAGGTATGCTAACAAAGAGCAAAACCTTAATGTGTTCTATGGGTACAACAAAGGAAAATGGTGCTAAAAATATACCTCAAACCCTAACTAAATGGAATCTAAAAATCAGAACAAAAATATTACAATATCACACTATGTGTCTAGAATCAGCATGCAAAATATTATACATTTATTTGATGTATTGATGGAGATAAAAATCACAAAGTTGAACATGTCAATTTCACATTTCTATCAAAGCATATTAAAATAAAATGCAAGAATTAATTGGAAAATAAATGGAAAATAAAAATAAAAAATATGAAAAATTTCTATACATGCCAAACTACCTAACATATTTTTTCCATGAATTATTGAAGTAATTATCATTTTCAAAAGAATTAAAATGCAACAACACATAAAAAGAAAAAAGAAATGGAAAAGAAAAGAAATGGAAAATGGCTGGGGTGTGGTAAGCAATTGATTCATGTGCGTCTACTTTGGGGCTTGGTGGTTAGGGGTGTAATTTGTAAGCTGGGCCCATTCCATTTAGAAGCTAATCAACTGGTGAGACTCAATCTCACGCGTCCGTTTCACATACCAACCAAAACAATCAACGGCCACGAAGCAAGCTGCTAAACGCAGCGCTTCATTAAACCAAAGTCAACCTTCTAAAATTTAATCCTGGCCGTGTGTTGTGAGTGAATTCAAGGGATCCTAGGGCTGATGAGGTGACACGCAGGCAACTGAAAACTAACATGAAATGGGATTGCATCGTAGCCACAAGATTAGGTCCTAGTCAAGATTTCAGCCATGATCTAAGGGT